AATAATAATAATAATAATAATAATTTATCACCTTAGCTCAAAAGTAGTTTCATTTTCTCCCCCATTGTTTGTGGTATTATTGTCATATATATTGCATTTATAGGCATAACAAGTTGTTTTGTATAAGTTTTAATAGCTTTTCATGAAATTAAAGGGTGAAAATTAAGAATTTATACTTCGTAAAAAATTTTTTCTGGTAACATTTCTGATGCCCTTTCCCCTTTAAGATTCCAGATTCAAATTGATGTCTGATGTCCTTTAACTTCAGCTTGAGGGACACATTGTAGGTTTTTTGTTTTTTTTTTTTTTTTTAAACATGTCTTCTACTTTAGAATATTCTTTTTATTTTTGAGAAATAGTTTTGTTATAAATAATATTCTTGAATGACAGGTTTTTACTTTGTTTTTCCTATTACCTCGGAGTTATATGGTTTATTTTGGGTTTTACTTCCAGCATCTTTTTTCTGATAATCAGTTACTGTGTTGGTTTCAGTTCTGTAGTAAGTTACTTCTGTGTTTCTGATTTCATAGCTTTTTCTTTTTTCAGATTGTGTGAATGTAATTGACCTAGATGTAGATCCTGTTAGTCGTATTAGGCTGTTGGGTTTTACAGTTTGTTAAACTGATATTTTCATCATATTTGAGGAATTCTTAGGCATTACTTCTTCAAACACTTTTTACCTTTCTCCTTTTGATCTTTCTGATACTGTATTTTATATTCTCATGTTTTTGAGTCTTTGTCCATTTTTCTGCAGTTTTCTCTCTATTGGATAATTTCTATTTTTGTATTGTAAAATTCATTGATTTTTAAAAATGTTATTTCAGATATTTTCTTAAGCCCATAGTGAATTTTTCAGTTTTGTTGTTACACTTTTCAGTTCCCGATTATTTCTTGCTTTAAAAATGGAAGGCTGAAAGAGGAAGATTTTATTTTCAAGCCCAACCTGTGTAACTTAGTGAGCCCTTATCTCAAAATTAAGAAATAAAAGGGCTGGGGATGTAACTCAGTGCAGATAAAGGAAGGCCCTGTGTGCAGTCCTGAGCGCCACAAAGAAACGTCTTAAGAATTCTTCATTAGTAATTCCTGTTTTTACGTAATTGCTGTATGTTAATTTTTTAAATACTGTACTTTTAAATCTTTGAACTAAAAATAATGACTGCCTTGTATTCTTTACTAGGACCAATAACTGTATCCTCCCAGTCAATATCTGTTGATCACATTTTTTTCTGACCTCTATATAAATCAGTTTTTCCTGTTGTAGGTCACCTTTTGCTGTTTCACAAATTATTTGGTACAACATTTTACAGTGTAGCCATTTAAATAATGATTTTTAAAAATCTTCTTGGGGCCGGGGAGATGGCTCGCTAGAATAAGCGCTTGCCTGGCAAACGCAAAGGTCTGAGTTCAACCCCTGGTTTCACCAAAAAAAAAGAAAGAAAGAAAGAAAGAAAGAAAGAAAGAAAGAAAGAAAGAAAGAAAGAAAGAAAGAAAGAAAGTAAAATAAAAATCTTCTCAAGATGCTTGCATTTGCCTGTTTTATTGCTTTTGTGAGATACCTGATTATTATCTAAAGATTTTTTTTTCCACAACAATCTTTTGAATTCTGTGTTAAATTTTTGATTCTTTCATTTCTTAGCCTTGTTCATTGTGACTTTTTGTTATGTACATTTTAGTACAGTGCTGGTAAATGTTGTAGAGCTTTCAGTGATAACCAACAGCTGGTTCTGTTCCATGTTTTTCCACTACTGGGTTAATGGTTACACAGTTAAAGATTATATTCAAACATTTAGTTTGTAAGGCTTTCATAATTCTTGATGATTATTCTATATGTGAGTTAGAAAACATCAAAATTAAGACAGTTTTCAAGTAGGCCCTGCTTTTATTTTCTCTGTGGCCTTCTGCAGTCTCACCTGCATGTGTACATAGCCTCTCAAATCAACCAGTGATGAGTAGGGAGTTTATTTGGCCCTTTATCCCCCTCTTTGCTAGGATTTCCCTGTTAACTTCTGGATGTCCTGCCCCTCTTGTTATTTTTCCCAAGCTATGCTGCAACCTCAGAACAACAGCAAAAAAAATTTTTTTTAGTTCCTTTGTTTCCTGTCACATTTGCTAGTTTTACTGCCAGTACTACTGAACATGGATTTTGCTTTCTGTTCTAAATCATGGTAGCCCCTCTGAAAGCAAAATTTCTGACTTTATTTTATTTTTTTAATATTTTCTTTATGTGTGTGTGTGTGTGTGTGTGTGTGTGTGTGTGTGTAGCCAGCTCAGCCCACCAGGGGGCGGGGCTGGTTGGCATGTGGTGCTGGGGGATTGAACTGCGGTCCCTGTGCTTTGCTAAGCTTGTTCTAAGTAGGTGCTTTAGACCACTGAGCCATCTCACCAGCCCAAATTTCTGACTTTAATGGTAATTCTGGTATAACTATCTTCCTGAGTTCAGTGGTATAGGAGAATGATAGCATGCCCTGTGCTAGGGAATTTTAAAATAAGGAAACCTAAGTATCTTTTCTCAACATGTAGAATATATAAACAGAAGAGTAAGGGTACATGAATATTAGGTCCTCTCTTGGGTATCTTTGTGACTAAAGGTAATATGAAATCTACCTCCATTATCTAGCAGTTTAATAGCTCCCTTGGTTAATGAGTGTGAAAAAATGTTCAGTCTAACATAGTTTTGTAAAGGAAAAACAATTTTACTAGCTGTATATTATTAAAGGGATGAGTATTGGCTTATTGACAGCTCTCTGGCTAAGCTTGGTACCAAAATGTGAATCAGTAGAGTATAGAAATACTTCCAGAAACAACTTCAGTTTGGGATGGAATGGAAATGGAGTGTTTTGAAATTGGTAATGTTTTCTCTGTCCTTCTTTCCAACTAAAACTTGAATCTGACATCAGTCAGTGTCTCTATTAAAGTTGAACTGTACTTGTAATTTTTGTTTTGCTTCAGTTATGCATTTTATAACAAGTAACAGAATGACAGTTAAATATTTTATAAAACAGTTTAAATTGTCTGTACATGAGCCCATTGCTGAGTAATTTTAAAGGTTAATAGAAATACTAGTCAATTATTTCTGCCCCGTAATTGAAAAACTGGAGGCTGCCTTCCTGTAAAATAGCCTAAGCTCTTCATGCATTGTCACATTCTCACCCTCTTTTTTTTTTTTTTTTTTTTTTTTTTTTTCTTTTCCCCTTTTAGTTCGAACTGTAATGCCATTTTCTTTCCTTATTCCCAGGTATATAATTCATGTTTTATAGCTCTTCAAATCATTATATCAACTAAATTTTTTTTTCTGGCCACTAGAGGATATTTTGGTGTCTCTGACAGCCTAGTATATTAGAATGTGTGTGTGTGTGTGTGTGTGTGT